GAGATAACTGTTCAACGAGCTATGAAGAAGCAAGATCTTCATGGGGTTATAAATATTTCAAAAATAATTTTGAAAGATTGGCCAGAGTGAAAGCTGCTGTTGATAGTGACAACTTTTTCAAGAACGAGCAAAGCATCTCGCCATTGTCTGCAGCCTCATAGAGGAACCCTATTATATATGTGAATTCAAGTTTGAGTTGATGATTTGCCCCCCAAAAAAGCAAAAAAAAGTTTGAGTCGATGAACTTTGGGCAGAGAAGTTAGCGATAGACTTAAAGTTACAAAATAAATTATAGTTAAGTTTTAGGTTCCGTGTCTTTGGATGGAGAGAAAAATGAGAAAAATAAAAAAAAAGGCAAATTGCGAGAGAGAATTTCCTAATGTAGTAATTTCTTAAATTTTTTTATAAGTTTTCTCTCTTTGTTTTCTGTATTAATTAGCATCTTTGAAATACTCATAAGATCTATATAGTAGGGGAAGAATGACAATTTCAAAGGACCCTACCAGCTTGAACCCATGCCCAAATGTTTTAGCCAAAGCATAAAATTAAACCATGAGGCATGAGCGAGCCAGTCCCGTAAGACTCTATATAGTAGGGGTTTGTATTAATTTGAGTCAAAAGTGATAATAGCTTTAAGTCTACTAAGACACCAAAGGATGGAATAAAAAAAAAAAAAATTCAAGTTGGGATAGTCCTGCTTTTGTCAAACCACCTTTCATGTCATTCGTTCATTTATTTATTCAATGTCAAGAAATCATCTGTGGACAGCCTGAAAATTGTAGTAGGAAGAGTGATTTTTAATGAAGCATTTTAAATAAGAATCATCATTAATAAATAAGAATTCACCTGTAACTTTGTATTATCATTATCAATGTTAATAAAAAATATATAGCAAGTCATATTTAAATATTATTTATTAATTATTAATTAGAGATAATTAATATGAGTGATAATCTTATATACAATGCAATTTGAATCTTTAATGCACAACAGTATTGCTGAGAGAGGAAACGAAATAAAAAGTTGGGATGTATGTTTAAACGTCCTAAGCAAGAAGTCGCATAAGTGGTAGTGCTACTTTATCCTTACCAGCATATGTGGTCGCGCTACCTACAGGTGCTGCTACTTACTTATATATCATTCTTTTAAAAAACGTAGAGACAGCGCTTCTAGTTTGAAGTGCTACGCTATATGCATGTGTATTTTCTAAAGTTTTCAACTTTTTTTATGCAATTTCTATAGCATATAAATTTATTGACTACTCCCTCCATTAAAAAATATAAAATATTTTTAATCAAATCTCATATCTAATAGAGAAATTATTTACTTTTAAACTAATTATATCTTTTTATATTTATTCCTATTAAACATCCTATAATAAATATAAAGTCATTCATCAATATGGACACTTTTGAAAAAAAATGATTATACCTTGAATGACTAAAAATGCCTTACATATTTTAACATCTAATTTTTAAAATATTACTTTACATTTTTAAACGAAGGGAGTATTTTAATATGACGACAAATATTTTGGCAATCATTAGCTTTTCAAGTCAACTTATTTGATCAATTTCAATAAAAATCAATAATAACAAAAGCATATAACTAGTATAGTTTTGCTAATACATATATTTCAATTCTATGATAAATGTGTGAAAATCATTAGATGCACAATTTATAGTACACCCAATCACTAGATATATCATTATTTGCCTAACCATGTCCTGTCCAAATTGTATAACTATATCAATTCTATGATATACTCACTAAATGATCTATTTACTCAATCAGCTAATTTGTTTTTCATAACAATAATCTAAGCAAGAACATAACATTTTTGCTAGGGTCTTTTCTATGTTCAACCACAAAATTAATACTTCCTTTGATCCTATTTATAGCGTAAAAAACAATGTTTTCAAAATCGGACTGGACATTAAATTAAAAGAGTTAGCCGTTCACGATTTGCATGGTTTAACTGTGTTGGACTAATGGTCAAACTAGTTATGTAATAATTAAATTAAAAAAATTATATATGTATATAATAATTTAAATATAAGAAATAAATATAAAATTACTACTTAATTTAAAGAAAATTATATATTTTAAGTTTATCAAGACTTAATAAACCACATGATATAATATAATATCAAATGATTAAAAAAATTGATCATTTCCTAAAAAAAACAAATTTTTTTTTGAAAAGTCCGATTCTTGAAAATTGAATCCGATTCCTGCTTTGATTATGGTTCCCAATCCGACTGCCAGTCTAAAACAGCTCAACTCGATTCAACCTTTAAAACAATTTTCATATATTGACCGAATCGAAATTTAGACCAATCGATGGTCGGACCAGTCAGATTGTTCGATTCGGTTTTAAAATCATAGGTAAAGAGAGAAGAATTTTTTTAGACTTATTTATAAGTCATGTTATTAAATTTTTAAATTTTCTCTTTTACCCTCCATTGAATGTTGGAGAGAGAAAATATGTTATTACAGTATGTATTTTTAATAGGGGCAAAGTCAAGAACGTATTAAATGTTAAGACAGAGTTAATGAGTCTTAAAGTTTTTTTTAGTACTGGTGAAATGTGTTGGGAGTAACTTATAAATAAGACTAGGGGAATAAATTCTTTCACCTTGTCTATATCACATAACACTAATAAACCCTCTTGATTGCTCAATTGTAAATACTAAATGCTCAATTAGAGTTGGAAAATGAATGGACCTGACCTATATAGGTTTGGCCCTTAAGGCAAGCCCTTAAGCCCAGTTCCTTTAAAATACCTCATTTTTTAAAACTTAACTCTTATTTAAAAGGCTTAGGTCAGGGTTGGGCCCATAAGCTCTTTTTTAAAAATAAAAAAAATAAAATTCATAAGAAAAAAATAACAACCATCAAAAGGACAGTTGATGGACCAAAAATAATAAAAAATAAATTTATAGGAATCACAACAAAATCAAGAATCAAAGCCTAAAGGATTAGAAGGACTATAAACCAAGACATGAGATCAAAAATAGAATCACAGGAACACAAGATCAAAGGACCACAAACCTAGACAATTAGAGAATCATAAAACTAGAAATTGAAGCAATATGACAGAATCGGAGGCACCTAAAGTAGAGATTGAGATAGAGGCACCTGAAGGTTGAAGTCAGGAAGAGAGAGACCAAGCACCACATGTGACAAAGGTAGGATCAGAATTGGAGGCATTATGGCTTTTGCTATTGTTAAGATCTAGAGGAAGCAGGAGAACATCATGATGCTAGTAAGACCGAGGCAAGAGCACTATGACTTGCCTTCATCGAGATCAAGAGGAGGGAGAGGCTGAGAGTCTGCACAAGCATAGCCTGATGAGTACCATGGCAAGACTGTGAGAGCACCTATGGTGAGACAAGAGATCACGAGAGATAGAGAGTCAAGAGAGAAGGGGGACTGACCGTGACTTGCCTTCATCGAGATCGAGAGGAGAGAGAGGCAAAGAGTCTACATGACTAGGGCAAGACTGTGAGAACACCCAAGGTGAGACGAGAGATTGTGAGAGACTAAGAGTCGAGAGAGAGGAGGGACTAAGGGAGAGGTGAGAGTCATGCTATTGAACGAGTTGAGTGAGGGAGGGGTCAAGTCTGCGTAAGCTTAGGGTTTTCTAGAGGCCAGATTAAAATGTAGTGTTTTAAAGAACGAGTATAAAAATAAAAGAGGAACCAAGTTTGGAGGAATGCTCAGACCCGAGCCCTTTTTAAGGGCAGGGCTTAAAATCTTGGTTTTCCAAAAAAAAAAAACCTCAATTTTTCAAGCTCAAACTTTTATTTAAACAAGATCTTCAGGTCCGACTTTTATTCTTGACTCTATGCTCAATAGGTCATAAACATTAGAGGCTTAATTATAAATAGCTGGGCTTCCATGCTATCTTTGCAACATATTAAAAAGATAAAAAAAAAAATAGCTCATACAAGACTTGAACACATGCATCTAAAAGGATAAAGTGGTATAATGAGATTAAAATTCATTTTCTATAAAGTCAAACATAATGAAATCAGCTTTGTTTTGCCACAATTACAAAGAGCTCTAATGTATTTTCAAAACCTATATTTTAGTCTACTTTTTAATGTCGTTAGAAATATTCCATTAAAAATTCTACAATCCTTAATTTCTCATATGTGACTAAAATTTAAATAATTTAAGGTTGTCTACCTTCACTCAAATTTAAAAAAAATTTAATAATTAAGCATTTCAATATTTAAATAATTTTTTTTAAAAAATTTCATGTTAAAAATTAATGAAAATTAAATAAAAATAAACATAAATTATATTGAGTAATTTATTATGTTAAACCCTTATTTGATTAATTTTTTAACTACATGTTGGAAATATTATTTAACCAAATTTAAAAAATTACTACATAAATAAGTTTACATAGCTAAAAGAAATTCAAATATAAATAAAAAATGTGTAAAATATATGCATTAACTTTTTTTTTTTGAGTAATTTGAATGATTTTTTAAACATTGATATTTAAAGAGGGGTATTTTAGTTCAATACATATGACTTACTAATAAACTAATAGTTAGATGGATAGAAATATAATTTTAAATATAGAGAAAATATGTTTGTATTTTATAATTATTTATATTAAAAGAGGTTCGTATGGATTTCAAAAATAAAAAAGAGATATATGTAACAAATAAAATAGAGAGGAGATGGGAGTAATTCACAACTTTTTATATTGTCATTGTAAATGAATAATTTGAATGTCATAACATATTTTCGTTTGGCAAAAATTGTTTCTAAAGAGCACACGCGGGGATAATTAGGACGCAAGATAATGTTCTTGTGCAACTTTTTTTTTTTTCTAAGTAAATCGTAATTTTCATTTTAAAAAACAATATACAAAATGTATATGAAATATGCTCTGTATAATGAAGGAACTAGAAGCGGATATGTAAAAGATGGTGTTTTCCGATGCTATGATCGATGGAAGTATATTTATTTTATTTGCCTATGCACAAAATTTAACATATAAAATAAGAACTTTAACACCATTCTACACTTTTTTTCTACAAAACACAAATTAGAAGATTGCCAGCCCTCAAACCTAATGTGGAAGTGAACATTTCAGTACATTATATATATATATATATATATAACTTGACTATGAAATATCAATGTATACAATATATGCAGTTTCTTGTTCTGAAATTTCATACCGAGCTAAGTTGCTGTGCATATTTATAATTAAAGAATTACAGAGAATTGAAAAGAAGTTAGATATACAAAAAAATTGAAAAAAAAAAGATGGGAGAATGACAAATAAAGACCTTATAAGAATATTAATGTCAATGTTAGGATTTTAGAAATTCTTGATTTGACACTAATCTTATGAGATCCTTACTTGTCATCCCCCTTGAAAAAGAATAAGATCACTTATAACTAAAGGTAATGATGTCAACTAAGAGAAGACAAGTGAGCATAATACCTTTACCATCAGTGTCACATATAGGCTTGAGTGTAAAATTTTACCAGCATCAGACTTCAAACCTGCAATCAGAAATCAAATTCCATTAAGCATTGGTTAGAAGCCCAAGAAAATGAAACATTTTAAACAATCAGTGTGGGTCCCAAGCGTTGCATAGAATATGAGAAATGATTTGCATTGTTCACATCACAAATCATGAATTGTGCAATTTGCATATTAAACATAGACTTTTGTCATCCACACATTGAAGATTAAAAAAAGTTTGGGAGAATGATAAATAAGGATCTCATAAGAATATTAATGTCAAGTTAGATCTCTTTACAACTAAGATTCTCAAATTCATAACTTCTTGTCCCATGTTTCAGCACTGAAACCTTTTAAAAAATATTGATTTTGACATTAATCTTCATATAAGCTCCTTACTTGTCATTTCCCCAAAAAGAAGTTATTCTTAAGCAAATCTGTGTTGTCCACATATCATATGAATGATCAGAGTTGAATAATGATTCTACTCAACATTCTAATAATTCTTAGGCACATTGGCCCATTCATTCATGTATCCTACCAACTAAATTCAGTTAGGAGAAATCACAATCATAACTTAAACAAGAACCAAGTAATTGTTTTAAACTAAACACTTCCCAGTATTTTTATAGGAGCACCGCCAAGGCTACTATATGTATAACCCATAATGATCATATATGAGCAGAATTTCTTCAGGAACAGATTGTGAAATATCACAAACCAATCACTTTAGGCTTTTCATTTTTGATAAATCCCAATAGGTAAATTTCCCACAAGTGCCTCCTGATCTTTCCAAAACATGCATAAAGCTTGGCTTCTTAGAAAAGGCCATCCATGGCTTTCTTTTCTTTCTTTCTTTCCTTTACTTTTATTTCCTTTTGCTTTTTAAAAGAATCAGAGACTTTAACTGTTTTGAAAAAAATCTACTTTTTCAGGGAAAAAAAGATCTTAAGAGGCTTTAAAGAGAAGCAATATAATCACCAACACTTGCTACTCTGTCCAGTACAGTTTTATGACTACTGTGATATCAATCCAACTAGCATTGATCTAATTTATAAGAAATTGAATTTCGATTTATAAGATTCTCATCAAACTTTGATCTAATTTATAGATGTTTTAACTGTAACTTTCTCTTTTAAGAATGCCATGGATGAAGCTACATATCTATGTAATTAACAATCTTTCAAGGTTTGGTTGGAAGTGAGATAATGCGCATACAAAAAGGTCCATAAGGCCCTATTTGGTACAGGATATTGAATTTTAAATGATTGAGAATGAGATTCGGAGTGGCATTGGCAGTGAGAATAAATTTTAAAATGGTGTTTGATATGTCATGGAATTAAAAAAAAAAAAAAAGTAACACCCAGATCAAACAAAAATAAACTAAAAAGACACAAAAGCCCTCATCTTTTTCCTTTAACCAGTAGTTTTTCAAGCTCAGCAGATCTGGAATACAGATGGAAGTGGATCTGAAGAAGAGCACAATTTATACTTCTGATTTTATTATTAATTAAACATCACATATATCCTTTCCTACCTACATCGCCTATCCAAACAACAAATACATCTTCTCTATCTTACTCTATAATCATAAAGAAAAAAGTGCATCAGCCGACGAATCCTTATCCCATGACAAAAACATCCAAATAGCCAAAAACAGCCTACCTCGAAAAAAAAATCAGATTAAAAACAGTCTTGTCTTGATATGCATGCTGCATTTAGGCCGCACTGAAATATTAATCAATGGACTTAAGGATGCATTTCATAACATCCCACATATAAAAAGATTGAAAAGAAAATATTGGAAAAAGACAGAAAATCAGCCCACCTTGGTTTGGCCATCACTAAAAGACAGGCTTGCCTATCACGGGAGGATATATACATATATATTACTCCCATGCCCTATAGCATTAAAAAACTGAGTACTATTTTCATCAGTATGTCAAAGAAATAGGTGATTCTTGTCTAAATCTCAAGATTTAATTCAACCAGGGTCTACAACTAAATTACCATGGTTTGACCAAATTTTAGTAAGAGAATATCTAAATGAACTATTGTCACCCATGTATACTAAATACTAATTCTCAATGAATGCAATGAATAACCTCTTTTAGTTCTCAGATGTCTCACAGATTATATATTCATTTATTCGAGTAATTTGGACAGTAAATAAACAAAAGGAAACACACTGAATTCTTATGACATTTTATTCATATGAACGAAGGGATTAAACAGAAAAGAATAAAGACAAACATAAACAAAATTTCAAGAGATTAGTTCTGTAATGGTCCAATCTTCAAAAGGAAGGCAGTAGTGGGCTTAAAGCCTTGAATGAAACTCAAGATCTCTCTTGCCAAACTCCAACCAACTCCGGCTATTAAAATAATCATTTACCAAAACAAGAAGGAACTGAGGACAAGCAAACACGTAGGAAACAAGAGAAAGTACGCCAATTAATTCACTCACTAACTAATTCCCTGTCTTACTTGGATTTATAGGGATACTCTGTTGATTCCTGAAAAAGTTTTCTGGATCAACTGCTGTCTTAATCTTCACCAGCCTCTCAAAATTGTTATGGAAGTACTTGACTCCATAAACCTTCCCTTCTTCGTAGCTATTCTTACCAAAACTGTTGATACCAATGTCAAGGTCCCTGTAATTAACGAATGCCCTCCTTGGATTCTTAGACACAAAAGGTGTCATGTAACTGTATAGCCTTCTAATCTGTGTTGTGTAATACTTCTCTGCTTCATCTCCAGGCTCATGCCAGTTTATAGAGTACTGAATTTTGTACAAATTCCCTGCACGATGAGGGAAAGGTGTTGCATCAGATGAAATCTCGTTCATTTTTCCTCCATAAGGATTGAAAACAAAACCTGTTTTCCCCAATTCAATCATCTTCTCCCATATATATTCCAGTCCATCTCTGGGAATTGGGGTCTGCACATAATCAGATTTCCTTTTGAGGAACCATGCTGAGTCAGGATTTCTATCGAGCAGCTTATCTACTTTGGTGTCATTGTCCAATCCAAACCACCATATCATTGAATCAATCCAACTCATTTCAAAACAATTTTGCTTCTTCAAACCCAATACAGGAAACTCCTTCCCCAATAACTTCACAAGTTCATCAGCCCTCCCTAGAAATGAAGCCAGAACTGAAACTCTGACGGTTTTGTTTTTAGAAGAGTCAGACTTCACAGTCACAGGCTGCAGGAGCAATCTCATGAAAAGCCTATCATCCGTATGAGGAGCAACTTGCTGCCATTGAACAACAAGATCAGTGGCATTCTCTTCCAAAGTCCTTTGAATTCTGAAAACAGTAACAATTTGTGGTACCTGAACCAACTTAACTGTGTATGACAGAATAACTCCATAACTTGCTCCTCCACCCCCTCTTATAGCCCAGAAAAGATCCTCCCCCATTGATTTTCTATTGAGAATTCTACCATTAACATCAACAATTTGAGCATCGACAAGATGATCAACAGATAGACCATATTTTCTCAGCATATTGCCGTACCCTCCGCCACTGAAATGACCACCAACACCTACAGTTGGACAAAGCCCCGAAGGAAACCCATGAACTTCACTCTTCTCCCAAATCTTATGATACACTTCTCCAAGCGTAGCGCCAACTTGAATCACAGCAATTTCTTTCTGTATATCCACAGTGATACTTCTGAGATTAAAAAGATCGAGGAGGATGAAGGGTTCGCTAGAGGTGTAAGAAATACCTTCGTAGTCATGGCCACCACTCCTGATTCTGAGTCGAATCGAGTTGCTTCTGGCGCAAATTACAGCAGCCTGGACATGGGATTCTTGCAAAGGGGTGATAATAATGGAGGGTTTTGGAGTAGAGGAAGTGTTGAAGCGAGCATTACGAATGTAGGCTCGAAGAGTGGAGGCGTAGTACGAAGTGTTTTTGGCTCGATCGAACAATATGTTTGATGATGCTTGGCCTTTAATTGGTGAATTGGCTTGGTTCGACAGGCAATGAAGGAAAGCATCATAAGCAGCACCTTTTGATTCTTCCAAGGAGACTGCCAATAAGCCATTGGGACTGAGACTCAAACTGAGACTGAGAACAAGAAGAAGTAGACGACGATCATTGGAGGAAAAAGCAGGTTTTGCCATTGATTGTGTGGTTTGTGTCTGAAAAATTCAACGCAATAATTATTTAATACTCTATATGATACATAGAACTTATAAAAAGCAAGATGAGCAGGGCAAGTCATTCCTGATTCCTCTGACTAGGATAAAATAATGAACTGCATAGAAGATGTCTGAATTTTCTTTGCCAACCGCCAGTCAGGGTCACGGCCTCACGTGAGAGGACTGCGGGCATTTTTGCTATTTTTTTTCAGTTTATTTTTAAATTGTTTTATATAGTGTTTAGAATTATTTTTCAAAACAAAATAAAAATAAAAATATGTTTGATTATGTTAATGTAAAAATAATTTTAAAATTAAAAAATAAGCTGATAATGATAATTATCGGCAATTGATGTATTTGCGATAGAAATTAATCAAGATAATTATATTTTCTAATAATTAAATGTAATATATTTTAAAAATAAGAAAAATAGAATAAAAACAATTTTAAGATGTTTTAATTTTTTTGCTTTTAAAAATAAAAAGTGAAAATAGTTTTAAAAACAATTAAATTCAAAATACTTATATAAATAAGTTTTAAAATTTTTTTGTTTTTTAAAAAATAATTTTTCAAAATAACTACCAAACAGCCCTACATCTTCTTGTTTGCCGACAGAAGCAAGAAAATAGGTTAATTAATTGTATTTAAATTATTGACGCTATCTTTCATGTGGTTTTTTTTTAATAATGTCTCAATTAAAGTGAAATATTGAATAATTTATTTATTAAGAATATTTTTATATTATTTGTCAGGAAGAGTATTAAGTATCATAATTGTTTATAATGATTAAAATTATTGTAAGATTTTATTATATTTATCATTCTTTTATAGAATTTTAATGAAGTTTTAAATTTAATAATTTTTTATTTTAATTAAAAATATTTTATGAAAATTTTTATAGTCTGATAATGATTTTAGTTATTCAAAACAATTATAAATTTTTAAATTTTTTTACCAAACATTAATGAAAAATCCACGACTAGGCACTTGAGAAAAGTCAAAGTCTGGTTAAGACTTCAGAAGAAGAACAGATCATTTTTTGTGGCCAATTTTTAATATTTTTAATTAATTAATATTATTTTTCAATTAATTATATATTACCCTCCCTCTCCCTAATTCATAAAACATTTTTGTCAAAATTACAAATACCAATAAAACTAGTCAAATATAACTTACAATTTTAATTTTTCTATAAATTTCTAAAAATACCAGGAGAAAATTTATTTAAATAGTGAAATAATAGGGTAATATTAACATTACCATCATTAATAAAACCTTCTTTAAAAATATTTTCTATTTCAAAATACCGAATAACATAAAAATGGTTTTGTAAAAAGATAATATGACAATTTGACTGTTAAATTATAAGCTTTGGAATATTTTGAATCCTAAACTTATTTTTGATACATTTTAACCCTTAAATGTGTAAAGTCGTAGCACTCTTACCTTACTATTAACTTTAACTATTAGTTAATTAAAAAATTATAAAACAAGTCCTAAAAAAATATAGAACAAGGCCAAAAAATATCACAACAAATATCAAAAAATTACAAATTTCATTTTTTTTTGGTAATTCCATAATATTGAAGCCAAGGTGTTGAGGATTTGATGAGTATCACCACCACCATAATAATATCCCATTAAGTGGGATCGACTATATAGATTGCAGTCATTGCATAATATCATTGTGCTCTATCATCAAGCGAACTTTTGAAAATATTGTTAATCAAGATGTTTTATTCAACAACTTTCATGAGCGATCACTTTGTCTTCTCTTCCTCTCTTAACAGGACTTAAGATTATCATTCCACTCTCCTCACTTATGCTTCTTGCAACCTTTTTTGTACATGTCCAAACTATCTCAAACAATTTTCTACCATTTTTTTCCCAATAGATACCACACCCACTTTTTCTTGTGTATAGTCATTTGGATGTTATCTTTCTGTATATACTCACACATCTATCTTAACATTCCCAAACATAGCCTTATTAACATGTTTGATGACTTTTGCGAGGCTATCATAGATTGCGTGGGGGCGAATGTCACGCCCAAGCTTGTCATGGAGATACATAACATAAGCTTCTGGTTCCGAGACCATTGCTGGTGTTGGCACACTGATGATCAAAAGTGAATAAGGATCTCAATAAAGATTTTGAAGTTGGGGTTCATAGTAAAAGTAACACCTCTATGTTTTGTGGTGTCAATAAATTGTAACATGGAACAAGCGGACATGACAATAGATGGAAAAGCTTTCTAGGATAATCATGAAATGTGTGATCACATAGACAAGGCATTGAGGTGAGTTCTTACTTGCACTCTGAAGAAGTGATTCTGCCTACGGGATTTCTTAGCTTCATAAGCTGCAGCTCTTGAACAAATTGGCAAGGTCTAGTTAGCCGCTGCATAAAGTAGAGGAAAGCCGCTGCCCAGGAGTAATGGCAGACTCAACTTCAATGACAAACTCTTTCCTCAGCTGTAAAGCATTAGAATGAATATATAATAAGAAACAAAGATCTTATTATTATTTTTTTTTGGGGGGGGGGGGGCCTTGAAGCCTCATCCTTTGAATGAAACAAATAACAGTAGTAAGGTTTATAAGAGCCATATTTACCTGCAGAAACCACGAATTCCATATGCTTTCTGCAGAAACATGTGTGGGGCCACTCCAGAGAGATAAATTCCCAATGGTTTCAAAACTAAAATGCACGTGAGGAATGAACAAGTCCCCATCCTGAAACATAAGGAAGAGAACAAAAAGTATATGAATATGTAGGCCTGCAACAGGCATGTTATGCATAGAGACCTAAGTTTCCTATGAAAAGAAAACTCATGCATGGAGGAAAATGCCTAGAAATAAGTGGACACATCAATCTGAAACCTAACATTCAATCTAGTCTTTTTTCATCCCCATCTTGTTGGTCATGATTGTAAGTAAAATCTGTTACTATTTGTTACCCTAATTAATTCAATTCTAGACTATGATGCAAAGACTTTGAACTTTGAAGCATAAAATTAAAGCCATGAAAATTAGTAAATCCACTGTGAGAATTGAGATGTTAAAACTTACACATAAATGCAGAGAACTAAGCTCTATTTTGTTGTCTCACACTCTCAAACGAAGTCTGAAAAACTAAAAATAGCTTGGGGTCAGATTTATAGAGTGCATAAACATGCAGTAAAGATTGTACAAGTTTAATCACACAGCTTTACACTCATTGCTTCAGAGGCTTGGTACTAGAGCATGGGTATAGTATAAATAATACGATATAACTCACAAGGACAATTAAGGTAATTCAATTCTAGTAAAAGTATTCTAGGTATAATTTGTCAAGTGAAAGCTTTGGCTAATGCCAACACGTGCCCTCACATGAATGCTTTATGGGTTTAAAGAAGGGACAAAGGACAGGCACACCCAACATACATAATTCTTATATTTAATTAGACGAATGGAAGCAACATAAATCATACTCCTAACAACTTAGTTTTCAATTACAAACATAAGCAGTTTAGGAAGGCTCATAAAAGGCTGCTAAATGAAGGCCCGTTAAAAATTTTATTCCGATGCATCTGACGATGAGTAATTGAGTCTCAACAATTATCCTCATAAGCAACAATAAAAATGCATACCATAAGGTCCGGTAGAAGTCATTGCAGAAATTCATGAGCCACAAGATGACATATTTGCTCTCACTGATTCTGACAACCTGAAAGCAATCATTTCATATCTTCTCGATTTTTGGCCATGAGTTGTGGGTGCATTGGAAGGTATGGTTGAGGAACATAGCCCTCTTTTCTCAGCTCATGAAGAAGACACTTCAGAATCAAATAAATCTCAACAGATTGTGGGTGACTTCCATCTGCGGCAGAGAACATATGAGTGGTGCTATTGACATCAATCCAACTGTATCCAGGGATCTTTTCAACTCCTTTTTCTTTCATTAAACTCCTTATCTTCAAAACATTTGTCCATTCTCCAGCACCAGCATGTATATTTGAGAGTAAGACATAATATCCTGAATTATCTGGGTCTAAATCAAGAATGTATCTTGAAGCAAGCTTGGCAAGTTCAACATTGCCATATACCCGACAAGCTCCAAGAAGTGTTCCCCAAACACCTGCATCTGGAGCAAATGGCATGTTCATTATAGTATCAAAGGCCTCATGCAAACGACCTGCACGACCATATAAATCTACCATGCATGAATAATGCTCCATTCTAGCAGAAATCCCAAATTCCTCATTCATGAGGTGGAAGTAGTGCCTGCCTTCATCAACTAGGCCTGCATGGCCACAAGCAGATATTATTATAAGAAAAGTAACATGGTCTGGACGAATTCCAATTTTTAACATCTCATGGAATAGATCGAGGCATTCTTGAGGATAACCATGGTTCCCATATGCAGTGATGATGCTATTCCATGAAACTTCATTCTTTTGATCCATAGAGTCAAACACACACTGTGCCACAGCTAATTTTCCACATTTCGAATACATGTCGATTAGAGCACTCTCAACAAAAATGTCAGCATTGAATGCAGTTCTAATTATGAAGCCATGTATTTCCTTCCCATAATAGAGTGAAGGTAAATTTGCACAAGAAGAAAGAGCAGTTGATAGGCTTACAGAATCATACTTAATTCCATTGATTCCCATTTGACGGAAAAGTTCAATGGCCATTTCTGGTTTCCCATTCTGTGTGAAGCTGGCAATCATTGAGTTCCAGCACACACTATCTCTCTCAGACATTCTTCTGAAAAAATGATAAGCAAGATCCAGTCTTCCACATTTTGCATACATGTCTGTGATAGCAGATCCCACATGATACATATTATCTAGTCCTTCCTTAAGTATGTTGCCATGCAATTCCTTCCCTAATTTCAAAGCAGCCAAAGCAGCACAAGATGGCAAAACACTAGCCATTGTCAGGCAATTAGGCATCATTTTCTCTTGAATTAAGCACCTGAACATGTTGATAGCATCCATATTCAGCCCATTAATTGCATATCCCGATATCATAGCAGTATAAATGACAACATCAACATCAGTGCTCTGTTGGAAAATCTTTTGTGCTGCATTGACATCTCCACCCTTGAAGTATATATCAATAAGAGCACACTTCAAGTAAACATCAAAAAGCATACCTTGTCGTAATATATAACAGTGGATTTCCTTACCGTGTTTGAGACTCCCAGATTCAATGACAGAAGGAAGGAAACTTGAAAAAGTGATTGCATCTGGTTTGACACCAGAAGAGATCATTTTATTAAACAATAGTAAAGCCTTATCAGTAAATCCATTTTGTACATATCCAGCAATTAACCCATTCCAACTCACTGTATCAGTCTGTGGCATCACATTGAACAACTTATGTGCATCAGAAAGGCTTCCACATTTAGAATACATAGCAAGTAATGTGTTGGCTACCTGGGAATCAAACTCAAGACCACTGGCAATAACTAGACTATGAAGCTGACTACCAAAGTAATGCATCCCTTTTGAGGCACATAAAGACAAAATACAACTATATGTGACTGCATTGGGTTTATTACCACATCTCCTCATTTCCCTGAAAGTTCCCATAGCATTATGAGAATCTCCATTTTTTGCATATCCATGTAGCATGACATTCCACAAAATGCCATCTTTCTCAGGGATCTTATCAAATAAGCATTTTGCATCGTGAATATAACCATTTTCTGCATACAACTTGATTAACGAACTCCCAACAAACAAATCCATATGATAGCCCATCGACTGAATAGTATTATGAATCATCTTGCCCAATCGAACATTGTTTAAGCCACCACAAGCTTTAATTACATAAGGAAATGTATATTTATCAGGAGAAATTTTGCTGCCCAACATCTTGAAGTAAAACAACAAGGCAAAATCGAACCATCCCATCATTGTAAGCCCTCTTATCATCCAATTCCAGGGAAGAGTATAGCACAATTCAAGTCCATAAAACATGTTTCTAGCATCCTTGATGCTACCACTAAGAGCGTACATTCCCAGCATTTTCGCATGAAGACTACAACTCATTATTCCACTGATAATCATCTGCGTATGAATTTGTCTACCTTGGCGAAGTACAGAAGTATCATAAGAAGTCCGCATTACTAAGGCCAATTGGCTTGCCAGAATCTCTTCAGTATTTGACAAGGAGCCAACTTGTTTTAATATGGAATTGCCACAAGTATTCTGTAAGTCCAAAATTGGATTTCGGAGCTGAAACGTCTGAGAAACCTTGTCACAAAATAAATATATTTGCCTGGAACAATTCTTTTCCACTTTGAGAATTAGATCGTTATACATACTTTGAGCTCAAATCAAACAAGGATAAGTGAAATTTGTTAACAGCACAAGAATCTTCTTCAAAGGAACTGTCATTGAAAAGGAAAAGCAAGCCAGACACATTATCCGATAATCATCAGAAGCGCAACCAAGAAAATCAAAATTGATATGAATTCCCTCAATGCAAATCAGGTTTTGAGGAGAAAGAACTCACATTAGCACCGTCTTCATCTGCAACTATCTCCAGTGAACGAATGAGAATGCTCTTTGAGTTCTTATTGATAATTTCTTAATATCGTCCTCACCAACACCCGGATTGATGAAACTCCTACTAAATATTCACTTCTAGAAGGAGAACAACCCCTTCATCAATGTCTCTTCCCCTGAAATAGGACCAAGCCGCGATGGAATGGGCGACCAAGCCATGACGAAAGCTGAAGCAGTGATTGTTCGTCGACGGAGAAAAATGAATCTCCTACTTCTACCAAACGGCGAGCTCGACCAAGAGTGGAATAGGGACGATGGAGGAGAAGAGGGGAAGAATGAACAACGAAGGCGAAGCTCAAGCCATGGCGTCAAAATACTATGTTAAAAGCATCTCACCAAATAGCTTTTTTTATTATTTTATTGATTGCTCAAAGTAAAAAATTATTCTCAAACAAGATTCAAGTAGGAGCTTTATTCCCTTTATTTTAAAAAGGATGGGCGTGTTTGTTTTAGCCTTTAAAAAAAACATTTTTTTAAAAAATATTATTTTAAATAATATTTAAAGTGTTTATTTAAAAATTTAAAAATAATTAAAATTTAAAAAACATTAGATATCTAATTATTTAGAGAAACTAATCAGAATGGCTTTTTAAAATGAGGCATGTAATTGACAAGGGAGAAATTAAAAAAAGACGGCTATTTTTATGCTACTTTTCAAAGGGCCAAAAAACCCGTTTCGCTGTGCATCTTCTTCCTGGGTGCGTCTTCTTCCTCGGCTATCATTCATCTTCTCCCTCTCTCTAGTCTGCATCAACCTGATCGCCCCTCCTTCCAACTCTGTTAAAGGTTTGGTTTGTTGTCTTTGCTGCCTACTCTGTTTCATATGGTGATAGATTTCGGTTCTTTTACTTTTTGTTTGATTTTAGCATTTGTTTTCACGCTCAGCCTTGCAGTTGATTAGGTTTGTGAGTGTTCTTAAGTTTACTGGGTTGTACTTTTTTAATTCTCTTGGATTTGCGCGAAAGCTATTTCGCCTTGAGATTGTCATGAAGCTGTGGCAGGAAAGGATGATTTCACCGAAGCTTGGCCGCTGCTTCCACTGCTTTACCCACCAGTTTTCTTTGTCGAGCTAAGGGCTCTTGTAGTTCATCTCCGTCACCAAGTTGAGAAATTGTTAACCGTATTAACTTCCAACTATTAGCTCGTGTTTGACGCTTCCCATTATGAAATTGGTGTGTGAGGTGTTCTAGTTGCGTCAGCATTGCAAGTCAATAGAATCTGAATGCTCTTGAAAGGATAGAATTGACTTTAGCTATTATCTGCCTCTTAGTTGTATTTTTTTTGTTTTATAATGCAGTTACATTTAAGTATTAAGTGCTTTTTGCTTTCAATGTACATCAAGTGTAATCAAGAATCTAAATCATTTGCACTTTCCATTGCTTCACATCCAGAAGACTCATGTGGAGACTACAAGTGGTCAGTAGCTCATATTATTTCTTCTTCTTCTTCTTGCTTTCCTTCTTATATGTAGACTCTATGGAATATGCGACTGTGCTTATGGTCTCTGTTGTATATGAGGAATGAAAGGGAGTTATTGATTAATGATGTTACACATAAGCTTCTTTTATTTATTTAATAAACTTTGCAATTTTGAGTTTGTGATCATAACTTCTTCACTTTCATGTATCTCTACTCCAGCACATGATCTTCCTTTAATCTTTAAACTGATTTTTATGTAATTTCTTGGAGATTAACCCATGGCTAATCAAATCAAGATGGAACGGGTTGTGTGATATTTCTCTGGGTCAGCTTCTATTCCTCTATTGGGTCAGAGATGGTTGCAGCCAACTATACAATATTAGCTTTGAACCATGACATCATCTCTAGCAAAGAACTGAATTCAGATAAACAAATTTGGTTTTAGTTCTAGGTTTCATAGAATAACTGACATGATGAAATGCAATGGAATTTGAGGATATTGTGTGTGAAATATAATTAATTAGGAAATATTCTTTGCTAATTTATAGGGATATGATTAGACAAAATTATGAGGGTAAATACGTGATTTGGTTTTTTTTGATTTTTTCCTTGTACAGTCTGCCTTGTAATCGTGTATATATTTCTGCACAGTGGAATAATATATTCATTCATTTTCTGGTCAATATACCTACATGGTATCAGAGCTGATCGACGGTTTTGACCCAGAAAACGCAGACGGCAGTGTACGACCAGTAGAGGAGTCACAGTCGAGCAACTCGAGACCTTCGTCCATGGGCTCGAGCGCCGAGAACTCCTCATTGTACACCCATGGCGGAACTCCCCTCGGGTTGAGTTCTGCCGAAGGGTCCTCTGTTCTCCTGGTATCCGATAAATTCAACGGACATAATTATCGTGAGTAGGCTCAAGCTATGCGACTCGCTATTGGTGGTCGTGGAAAACTAGGCTTCATCACCGGTACATCTAGGGTACCAGACGAGTCAGACACAGCAGCCCTGTCAAAGTGGGAGATCGAGAACTCGTTAGTTGCTTCATGGTTGGTCACAGCCATGACTCCACAGGTCCGACACTCCTTCATGTTTCTGCCTACTACAAGAGACATTTGGGAAGCTGTTCGAGAATCATACTCGGATGGTGAAGACAGTGCTCGAACATATGAGCTGAAAACTCGAAGCTGGCAGATTAAACAAGCTGAACGTGACTTGACCGAATATTGGTTAGAACTCGTTACCATATGGCAGGAGATCAACCTCAACACAGAAGAGGAATGGACTTGTGCCCATGATGCATCAAGGTACAAAAAACGAGTTGAGGATGAGCGGGTGTTTCAATTCTTGGCCGGTCTTCATCACTCATTAGATGATGTCCGAAGCAGAATCCTAGCTCGCTCGCCATTACCCTAAGCACGAGATGCATTTGGAGAAGTCCGTAGGGAGTCTTCTCGTCGAAAGGTGATACTTACTGACCCTGTTCCCATATCTTCCTGTTCTGAACCTTCTGCCTTGATAAGTAGAAGCGCTGATCACGGTTTGAAGGAGACAAAAGGGAAAATCTCGTGTGATCATTGTAAAAAGACTGGTCACACAAAGGACAAGTGTTGGGATCTTCATGGGAAGCCTGCTGACTGGAAACCAAGCAAGGGTAAGGCACGTGGATATCAAGCGACTTCAGAAAATGCCCTAAAAAAATCTGTTGCCATCCCTCAAATGGATAAAGACCAGTTAATTAAGCTCCTGGAGGTGTTAAATACACTACAATGACCTGGTCAACCATCTCAAAACCACACTGTTTCTGTGGCCAAGCAAGGTAAGAATCATTATGCATTAAATACCTCCTTCCATAAATCCCGGTGGATTGTTGACTCTGGGGCCTCAGATCACATGACGGCAGACTGCACGTTATTCACATCATATTTTCCATGTAGTGGACATGAGAAAATTGATACTGCTAATGGAACATCTTCCTCCATTGCTGGAAAGGGAAGCATTACTATTTCTGAATTTTTACAACTGGATTCAGTCCTTCATGTTCCATACTTAGCTTGTAATTTGTTATCCATAAGCAAGTTGACTAAACAAGCTCACTGTAGTGCTCATTTTTTCTCTACTCATTGTATCTTTCAGGATCTCACATCGGGGAAGATGATTGGCAATGCTGAGTAGTGTGATGGGCTATACTACCTTAATGAATCAACCGTGAGTAGTCTCTGGTCTCGTATTCGGTGTAATCTTGTGTCCACCTCTGAGAATAATACTCTTTTGTTATGGCATAAAAGAATGGGTCATCCTAATGTCCAGTACTTAAGTCGTCTGTTTCCTTATTTTTCATTCAATAAAATTTCTACTTTTCATTGTGATACTTGTGAATTGGCTAAACACCATCGTTCCGCACTTCCGCGCTCTGAATACAAACTGTCTAAACCTTTTTCCATCATTCATAGTGATGTGTGGGGTCCTTCCTGTATCCTAAATTGGACTCAAGCCAAATGGTTTGTTACCTTCATAGATGACCATACTCGTGTGTGCTGGGTCTACTTAATAAAAGAGAAATTTGATGTTACATCCATATTTTTAGAATTTTACACCATGATTCTTAACCAATTTCATACCTCCATTCAAATCCTCCAAACTGATAATGGTACCGAATACCTGAATAAAACTATGAGTGAATTTTTGAAAACGAAGGGTATCGTCCATAAAACCTCTTGTACAAATACACCTTAACAAAATGGTATTGCCGAACGCAAAAATAAACACCTATTGGAGGTTGCCCGTGCCCTTATGTTTACCACTAATATGCCAAAATTTTTTTGGGGCGATGCTATTCTTACTGCTGCTTACCTCATCAATCGAATGCCAAGTAAAGTCTTATCCTATATTACACCTCTTGATCGACTACGCGAAATACATTCTCTTTACCATCTTGAAACTAATCTCCCCTTGAAAATATTTGGGTGCTCAGCTTTTGTACATCTTAACCCCACTTCAAAGCTTGAACCTAGGGCTATCAAGTGCGTATTTATTGGTTATTCTTCTTCTCAAAAAGGCTACAAATGTTTTGATCCCTCTTCCCGGCGTCTATTCGTTAGTCATGATGTCGCGTTTTCTGAACACGAATCCTTTTATCCTCCTCCCTCAACTCAAGGGGGGACTTGGCATGAATTTTAGTCATTCTTTGAGTATTCCCCTATTCCATCTGTGGATCTCAACTTTTTTGAGCCATCTGTCTCTTTTATGCCAGAAGCAAAAGAAAATGCAGGTACAGAGGATAACAAGGACACAAGTACCACAGAAAAAGAGATCATAACCTATAAACGGAAGAAGAAGCAAGGTAATAAACCTCCCATACCTAAGGCAATCCTTGATCCAGAACCGATAAGAGATCTTGTAGAAGGAAATGAGAACATCATAGAGACTTTGAATGCCAATAATGATGCCAGGAAAGAATTGGATAGTGATCTGAATTTGCCAATTGCCCTCAGAAAGAAACCTCGATCTTGTACACAGCATCCAATTCAAAAATATGTGTCCTATGATATTATATCTCCCAAGTATCAAGGGTTCATTGCAAGTCTAGATGATGTTAGTATTCCAAATAATATTCATAAGGCTTTGGAATCACCAAGATGGAGAGAAGCTGTCTTGGAAGAAATGAAAGCATTAGAGGAAAATGGGACTTGGGAAATTGTGAATAAACCAAGGAACAAGAAACTTGTAAGTTGCAAGTGGGTGTTCACCCCAAAATTCAAAGCCGATGGGAACCTTGAAAAATTGAAGGCCCGATTGGTAGCTAGGGGATTCACTCAGACATATGGCATTGACTATCAAGAAACCTTTGCACCAGTGGCCAAGCTAAAC